GCAATATACAGTTCAGTCTTACTCTTTTTCCTCTTTCTCACTCCTTGTCTTGGTTTTCAGATCACAGATATCTCCTCTTCACATTTTGTATTCCTGGCAGCTTTATTTCTTCCCCTGTCTAAATCCAACAGTATTATTCCATGACTGTATGGCTAATGATACCTCTTACACAGACCCAGCAATGCATACAGCAGTTTTCCCCAGTAGCTTTTAAACTACAGCCTAGAGGGAACAACTTCTTCCCAGGTAATGCTAATGCAGTGTGTACACCTCAGAAGACAGCCTGCTTCTTTAATGGGATGTAAACCCACCTTAGTGTGTCTGCAGTTTATAACTCCAGATTCAGACTATAAAACATTAAACTTTGAAATATACTTGCCATGGACTGTATGAGGTATCATATAATATTGCTGCTTCCGTGAAGTTCTGTCTGAAATAATAGTGTTAGTGAAGATGGAAAATATGTGGCAGTTTCTCGTTGAGAATTGGATCTGCAGTGTGGTGTGTAGGTACATCTGCAGTGCATCTTGTTGCACCAGCTCTGGAACACACATAGCATGCAAGCAGATGAGTCTTTCAAAATCTCAGTGCCAAACCCATGGACTGCTATATTACACAAAACAGCTCTAGAAAACAGCTTTAAAGAACATGAAACATTTACTTCTCTGCTGCTTCTAATAGCATCCTCAGAAAGGCTTGTTACATTGCAAATACACTGCTTCCCCCCTGCCTCCTGAGTTCCTCATTGCACTGACTGCACAGAAACTTCCAGATGTTGCCTGTAACTCCAGTGCTGCTGAAGCTTGAGGTTGGCAATTTAAAGTTGTCTTTGTCAGTGCTACACTGCTTGGTTTTTAGCAGTGACTAGGATGGTCTTGCAGTGCATAACTCACACGCCAGGAGCTCACAGGGTGGCAGCACACCATGTGCTCATTCTTGCCAGAGATTTGGCTGTCCTAGAGGGGTTTTTTTCATCCTCTGAAGTCTAAAAAAGGGTAGTTGCTTCTATCAAAAGTTCTTCTTATCCAAGTTTGGGAAATATTACTGACTGCATTGAGGTAGTACCTATGTTAGGTAGATGGATTGCTTCTCTAAATAGTGGTAAGGTTCTTTCTTTGCCCACAGGAGCCTCCATTAGGAAGGCTATAGCTATGTTTAGACCAAGTTGGGTTGACTTCAGATGTGTCTATTTTGCATTAAGAATTACTTCTGTGACTCCAAGAGAAACATTTTAAATACTCTTACACTGCTTTTATGCTTTAATGTGAGACTCCAGTGCAGGAGTCTGGTCAGCCAGGAAGTGACAAACATGTGAGTTATGGTTGATTTGCCTGCAGCTGAGAGAATCTGCTCCCCTTTTCACTAACCAAGTCCCACACATCTACATTGTGTGCTTCCTTGTTTGGAGCCCCAGTGAGTAGAAAGAAACCTGTTTGGAGCCCCAGTGAGTAAAAGAAACCTGTTTTCTTCCACTGGTAATGCAGTGTTTCACTGGTGGCTCCTTGCTAGACTTGCTAGAGCAAGTCACAGAGAAGTTAGGAGTTTTGCTGATGCTTAAGTATGTTCAGAAGTTCAAATAATAAGAACAGATTATTTGCAATTTCTTCTGATAAACCTGCGAAAATGTAGAATATAGGAACAAACCAGTTATGCATTTTCAACGTGTTCCACAGAATCTACAAGACAATGTGTTTGCTATCCAAGCTACCATTTCTGTTTGCTGAGTTATTTCTAGTGCTTGTTTCTTGCAATGCTTCAGTATCAAATAACAGTATGTGCAGTATATACATTTGTAGTATTTAACACAGGTGAATGCACACAGTGCCTTATCTGTGGCCTATCTCCGTTGGATGGTGATCTAGGAGGAATGTGATGGAGAAGTTCTAGAGCATTTGCTGGAGAAGGACTTCTTACAAGAGCAACGGGGCAAAGGGGATTTAAAGTGAAAGAAATTCTTTACTGTGAGGGTGGTGAGGCACTAGCACAGGTTGCCCAGTGAAGCTGTGGATGCCCCATCCTTGGAAGGGTTCAAGGCCAGGCTGGATGGAGCTTTGAGAACCTGGTCTAGCAAAAGGTGCCTCTGCCCCTGGCAGGGGATTGGAAGAAGTTGGCCTTTAAGGTCTGTTCCCACCTGAGCTGTTCTATGATTCTATAAAGCACTTTTTGTTATTCACAGTTATGGAAATGTTGCTTGAGTTGTTCCTGCATATTACTGGGAAATGGCTGTGAAATTTTGGTTTTAGAGTAACTGCAGCTTGTATTTGTGAATATATTACTGCAGAGAAAAGGAAGAAAGCAGAAGTAAACCTGATTCATCCTCTCTCATTCTCCAAGTAACCAACACAAAAGGTAACCACACAAAAATGGCAATAAATTAGGTCTCTGTTTTAGAATCCTATCCTTTTACATTCCCTGAGAATATTAAAATAACACTGGTAAATTTTTAATGTTTTGGAAATGTTAATGCATTGTTTTAAGCTGACAAATTCTGGCTTTTCTGAACAAATGTCAAACCAAACTTTATACTGCAGTGTTAGCAAGCTGTAAATGTGCCTCTGACATGACAAAGAATTGTAGGTATTTTAATTAAAGTTTCCAAAGGACATTTTTCCCCAAATGTTCACAGTTCTATGTAGGTGGTTAATCTTCCTCATATATTTATGTCTCTGGTTTGTACTAAGAGTGCAAATCATGCTTATGACTTGAATGAAAACTTAATTTATTATGAGAGAGTGGCTGTGTTCTGTGAGGTAGCAGACCCAGCTGAGACGCTGGTTCAGTGTGTGAACTCTGCCACTACTCAGTGATTTTCCATCCATCCTCTTTATGGCACAGAATCATTTCTTTCTCCCTGTTCAGTACAGAACTCACAGGAATCTTCATTTTATGGGGAAGTCCAGGTTTTAACACAGTTTTGGGTGAAGAACCCAGCTTACTCAACTCTGTTTTACAGTTGCCCAGGGAAGGTCAGAGGTGATGAGTTGCTCAAGAACCACATGCAAAAAAACCATGAGACTCCCTTGGCAAGGACTATAACACATGCAGGGCTGTGCTGGATAGTCTGGGTGTGCCCTGTCCAGGGAAACAGATCACCCTTGGCCCTCTCAGGAGTCCAGCTCAGTGCCCAGCCCAGCATCAGGCAGCTGTGGCAGCTGTTACCTCCAGCCTGTGAATACCTGCTGGAGTTCTGTTTCCTTTTGGTTTTCTGAGAGATGTGATTTGTGGCTTGTGGCTTGTAAAGTCAGGAAGGTTGGGTACTCATGAGTGCAATTGCTTGGCTTAGGTATTAATTTCTGAAGGAAGCAAGATAGTCTGTCTCTCTTTAAGATGCTTAGTTATAGTTAGGAGCAGCCAGACAGCCAACGCTTGCCACTCCAGCAGTCATGATGGTTGTGAATTAAACAACAGTTGACCCTATTAGAGTATATGTAACACAGATTTCATTTTTTGTATCTTAGCTGTGCATTGGTATCTCTTTGTGGGAGTTAAGCAAATGTCTGCTGGGGTCTAGCTTTTACCCTTACCTGACCCTGAATAGAGCAAGTTTGAGTTTAAAGGGTGTTTGCTTCAGCTGCATAGCAGAGCAGTGTACTAGCTGCTCAGCACGTCACTATTTACTAGATAACTTTGCAGTTGGACGAGGCCTTGTTTCCAGGTGTGACAGATACGTTGCAGTTTACATAAGATGGATATTTGGAGCAGGTGCATTTCTCTTGCCATGAATTTATGCTCGCAGCAGTAGCTGTACCGTACACAGCGAGCGTTGGAAACGATCTTGCTGTGGATATATCTGTGCCCTCAGTGGGATGTAGGAAGCAGCAGTGCTGGGGAGGTATTTCATTATTTAGAAGGTGAATGTTAAGATTCACTGCTGCTGCTCTATACATTACACAAACTGTAGACATAACACATTGGTGCTAAATTAAAGAATGGTAGAAGTGAGATAGATGTAGAATTGCTGAGCTTACCCTGCTGACAATTCTGTAGCAATAAGTTGCTTCTTCAAAATGTCCCTTCTCAATTTTTCTCAAGTTTCAATTCAACTTTTTTTTCTTTCCTTTTTTTTTTTCCCCATGACAGACCCAAGAGCTTGAGAACTGCTTTTAACAGCCCATCCCAGCTTATAAATAATGAAATTGCCCTGAGTTCGGAATGCCCTGAGACAAGTATTCAATCATTTCTCTGCCTTAGGGTGCTAGCTCTAACAAGAGTGAGGTGGTGGTTAGTGGATGAACTGTCAGCCTTAATCCTCATACTTACCATTTATTGAGCAAGTATATTTAGTGAGGTTTTTTCTGTTTTCTTAAAATACTTTACAAGTTTTCAAATATTGTCATGCTTACTCTAATTTAAGCCACTCTCCTTTTCTACACTGACCTTAATATCACCATAATGTATATTTTTGCTGATACTGCAGAAGTGTTCACTTGGCAGTAGTTTTCCCATCTAACAGATTATTTATTAAAGATGTTAAAAATTTGCTGTGCAGAGCACATTGCAAAGGAGACACCTCAGTACCTAGAACAGTGCAGTAAAGGTATTTCTCCATGACAAGTTCAGAAGTGATCTGGGTGCCTGTGTGGCTGCTCTGAAGTTTTGCATAACTCATCTCTAATTCCTAAACACCAGTGATCTTTGAACTGCAATTTAGATGTCCTGTCAGCAGAATTATTTCTTGAGCAATGACAGCCTGCAAGTGACTGCTGTGTAAAAGCAGGGAATGGAAAGCCCTACCTCTCTTCTTAGTGTTCTGCTCATGCTTGCAGGGATGTCCCAGCTTAGAGGAGCAGTGCTCCCTAGGTACATGGCTTTGTGCTCTCATGCTTTTGGGGTGAAATGTGTAGCTTCTATCAAACCTCTGCACGAACAGCTTGTATTCTGACATCCAGGGGTCAGCACATTTGTCAAAGAGCAGAGTGGGCTAGTGACGAAACGAGGTGAAACCGCAGCAAAATTCATTGGTGGGATTTTAATCTGGTATTTTCTTGTTGCTTTTCCAGGTCCGATGTAGTTGTTCTGTGCTTTTCAATTGCTAATCCTAATTCCCTGAATCATGTGAAAACAATGTGGTATCAAGAAATCAAGCACTTCTGTCCTCGCACACCTGTCATCCTGGTGGGCTGCCAACTAGATCTCCGCTACGCAGATCTGGAGGCTGTTAACAGAGCCAGACGGCCTTTGGCAAGGTAACATTTAAACAAAAGTAAGGATTTAGAGAAATCCCTTGAGTAATCAGATGCAACACTTTCAAAAGAGAAATTTTAGAGCCTAGTTTCCTTGTTTTGTCTGATAAGAATATATCTGCTTTCTTTTTGAATTCTGTTGTCTTGGTTAGTTCTTTAACACATGCAGTTGTTACATTTCCCACAATATATTTTGCACATTGGACAGCTAAACTTGTTTGGGTGCCTAAATCCTACAATAAGATGGAGATCATAATGATTACTGAAGGTTTTCATATATGTCTTTCTCCATCTAAGCATGTGTATTGTGTCCTACCCTGTCACTACCGTCAGGTAGTTTTAAACTGACAAATTTGACTCAGGTTTTCTTAATTCTCAGGGTTTTTTTAAAATATAATCCTAGATCCTGGTAGAAAATAAAATGATTGCAAATTAAACTTTTTAAAGGTTCTGAGATTAAAAGATTTTGGGGTCCTTCTGGAGAAGCTTTGTTTTTTGCAGATTCAAAAGACAAGCATTGGTATGTTTGGGCAAAACAGTGCCACAATTATCTGCTTGCTTCTAATTTCCTTCTTTTCTGAGAGTTTGAATGAGACCAGATTCACAGAAATAATATTCATGATTGTGTAATTAAAGACTGTATTGTAACCAATTTCCACAAAGAGACTGAATGAATACTTTGTGGGCTCTTAGAAAGCTTTGCAGTGCATTCAGATTCTTGACTTGGCAATATGATTTTCATGGGTTGGTTTGTTAAACATTTCTTCATTGAGTGGGTGGGCTAGGCGTTTTGGTTGACTCTTTAAAGGATATCTTCTTGTTCAAAACTCTTCTTTGCCCTAGTCCTCCTTCCTGATTTCACCATCAATAAAGTTTGGATCAGTTCTCTTTGTGTCTAGCACAGACTTCTGCCACCTGAACTAGTTATTAGCTGGCAACTAGAGCAAGCTGTTGTCTGGGGTGTGCTCAGGCTGTGCCAGCTTGTGTCTGCCCAATATGGTATGCTCAGAGAACGCACTGTTGGGTCGTGTCTTCTGGTGAGATGATTTTTTTTGCTGGGAAAATGGATCCTAGCCCAGACTTTTTACTGGTTTATTTACCCGACATTATGTACTAGAACTGCTCTGAAAATTCATGAGTTCCCACATAATGCTTCTACAGCCAAAACAAGCCCATCTCTTGAAGTGTACGTTCACTTACACTTTTGTCATAGGCTACTGTGATTTTCTTTAAAAAACATAAGAATAATTTCTCATTTCATATTTAGCTATATTTCTCACATTTTTATGCCATGAAAATTTCCATTTGAGTTTAAAGAATGGGCACAAAGAAAGATTTTGACAGAGTAGTAAAAGATGTTAGGAAGTTTTTTACATAGTGAAAGTTCTCAAGTATCCTATCCACTCTTTTTACTGTAAATTTCCCTTTAACAGAGAGGCAGCTTACTCCATTTTGGCAGATGATTTCTACATGTTTAGTAACATTGCAAAGACACCACCAAACTTCAAAGAAATTATGAGTATCTGCTGTTCTAAAAGTCTGTGGCATCATGATTGTAGATTTCCAAAGGGCTTTGTGAGCTTAATTTGATATTTTGTTTCATTTGAGTGATAGTGATCTCAGAATTAGTGCTTAAATATTTGGTAAAATTCCATGGTTTTTTGAGTTGTTGTGAGTGACAAGGTTTATTTTTTGTTTGACCCTAGGCCAATTAAAAGGGGAGACATTTTGCCACCAGAAAGAGGCAGAGAGGTTGCCAAGGAACTCGGGATACCATACTATGAAACCAGTGTATTTGACCAGTTTGGGATTAAAGATGTGTTTGACAATGCAATTAGAGCTGCCCTGATCTCCAGAAGACACTTGCAGTTCTGGAAATCTCATTTGAAGAAGGTCCAAAAACCTTTGCTTCAGGCTCCATTCCTACCTCCAAAAGCCCCTCCTCCAGTTATCAAAATTCCCGAGTGTCCCGTACCGAGCATGAATGAAGCTGGATATTTATTGGACAGCCCACTGTGTGCAGATGTCATGTTTGTTCTCCAGGAGCAGGACTATATTTTTGCTCACAAGATTTACCTAGCTACCTCCTCTTCAAAGTTTTATGACCTTTTCTTAATGGAATGTGAGGAAAGTCCAGACTCAGATGAAACACAGTATAATAAAGAAAATACAAATAAGGATGTTCTGACAAGTCACCTCGAGACAAATAGTGACAGTGATGAGGCATCCTTGAAATCTGCTGATGTTAAAATTCCCCCACCAGAAAGTACTGAGTCTTCAAACATGGTAGAACCTGAATCTGGTGAAACAACCTCTGCAGCAAGATCTCTGTCATCCTTGGGTAAGGGATTTGTTAGCGTGCACAAGGAAATGCAAGTGAATCCTGTCTCAAATCGGATGTGTCCTGTAACTGTGGTAAAAATGGATTCATCGGTGCAGGCTGGACCTTTTAAAACTGTTTTGCAGTTTTTATACACAGGCCAACTGGATGAAAATGAAAAAGACCTCACAAGACTGGCTCAGATTGCTGAAATCTTGGAAGTATTTGATTTGCGAATGATGGTGGAGAATATTATGAATAAAGAAGCCTTCATGAACCAAGAGATTACTAAAGCATTTCATGTCAGAAAAGCTAATCGGATAAAAGAGTGCCTTTGCAAAGGGACATTTTCTGGTCAGTAAATACATGCTTAAACAGGAAGAGCACTAATTCTTCCCTCATCCATGTCGCTGTCGCTTCACAGACTTCAAAAACTGTGACAGCTTACATTGTTCTGAGAGGAGGGATGACGCCAAAATTATCGTGTTGCTCAGGCCAACTGTTCCATCCTGGGATTCTGCAGTTTAATTTCTCAGGATCCACACAGCCTTTAAATAAGTGTCCCAATTCTCCAAAGTGTTGAAGATCCGATATCCCCCTAAGTGGGGCGTTTCATTTAACTATATGAAACATGAGAGTTGTTTTTGGGGTGGAGGTAGTGGGAAAGGAAAGAAGTCATTGGTTAGCAAGTGAAACATATGTTCTTAAGACATGGTTTCACATAAACTCAGACTTGCAGCATGCCTGTTTCTTTGTTCCCATGGCAGATGTGAGGTTTAAATTGGATGATGGAAGCATAAAGGCCCACAAGCCACTGCTGATCTGTAGCTGTGAATGGATGTCTGCGATGTTTGGAGGATCATTTATTGAAAGCTCCAACAGTGAGGTATTTGTCTGGTTTTGTCCATTTTGTTTACAATGTCTCATGGATTTAGGGTGGTGGAGGCATCATTCTGTATCTGTTTGAAAGGTTGCTGTAATCATAGAATCATAGAATTTAAGGGTTGCAATGGACCTTACAGATCATCTAGTCCCAACCCCTGCCCTGGGCAGGGACACCTCCTCACTAGATCAGGTTGTTCCAAGGCTCATCCAGCCTGGCCTTGAACACTGCCAGGGTTGGGGCAGCCACCACATCCCTGGGCAACCTGGGACAATGTCTCACCACCCTTGTAGTAAAACACTTTTTTGTCACATCCAACCTAGACTTCTCCTCCTTCAGTTTGAACCCATTACCCCTTGTCCTGTCACTGCAGTTCCTAACACAGAGTCCCTCTCCAGCTCCTTGTAGGCCCTTCAGAGATTGAAAAGTTGCTCTGAGGTCTCCACACAGTCTTCTCTTCTCCAGACTGAACAGCCCCAACTTCCTCAGCCTGTCCTCGTAGGTAATCCCCTGGAATCAGTCTTTATTCTTCCCTTGCAAGCCTGAGATGCTTTTCTTCTTAAGGCATTAAGTAAGGTTGCCTAGGAAGGTAACACACTCTGCACAAGACCTTCTCTAGCACTGGAGCATGTGTCTAAACTCAAAGTCCTTTAAAATATTAAACATGGGGGAAGGAATTAAATATGAATTTGTGCATGTCTTTAAAATAATTTTTTCAGTTCTGTGAATTACAGGCATTACAGAGGGTTCTTGGGACAGTGGCATTGATGAAGGGAACAAAGGGGAGAGAGGGTTAAAGAACATAGTGTTAAACTAGCTTTACAGTACAAACTAAGCTAACTTTAGTAGAAGTTCTAGTAAAGTTAGTAGAAACTCAGCCCAGGTTCTGTCATGCATCATCTTGTCCTCTGGAGTAAAGCAGGTGTGCAGCACAGTTTGAAAGAGCTCAATACTTTGAATCAAGATTTTGCAGCAGAAGCCTTGTGTTTTCAGGTGCCTTCATGGTCTGTGTTTCAAATTCCAAACACTCTGCTAGGTTTTTTTCCTGTGCCTTATCCATACCCAGAGTTTTCTTTTTGTTTTGATTTTCTTGTTCTTTCCATACTCATGGATCTTCCTCATGTGAACAGTTCAAGCTTTTTTGTGTTTAATATACTTAAAGATTTTGTTCTACTCTAGATTTTTCTGGCTTCTTCTAATAGAGCTATAAACATAATTTCTTTCCCAGGGGCATACTCAACAACTACTTCATTAACAATATATAGTTTGATTCTAGTAAGCAATATTTGGCAGTGAAGAATATGCATTTTTTTTTCTACCAGCATATTTGTAGTGATTAACTTAACAGTCTTAGCTCATCCTTCCAGTTTCAACGGTAACCATAGAGTTTAAAGTATTCAGTAATGCTTTTGGAAGCTTTAAAATAAAGGTAGATGTGAATTGAATGGTTTCCTTTGAATAGTCGACATGACATAAAGCCATTTACTTTGTACATATTGCCTTTTCTCTATTTTGGACAAATTTTATAAACTCATTCCTTGAATTTATAGGTCTCTGCATTAACAGAAATAGATGAATAATAAATGAGTTTCACAGTGAGCTGCTCTTACTTGGAGAATTGAGCTGCTTCCCAGAGTGGCTGATATGCATAAAAGGTCGATGCTTTAGCACTAACAGATGTGGGTTCAGATGCACCACCTGCCCAGGCAGCACATTCCA